ATCAGTTCTTATGGGTTGTTATCTCTATGGAAACAGCTTCCAAGTCTTTATATCTAGCCCTAGTCTCTCCTCAGCTCCTCTCCAACAGAACCAACTGCTTACTGGATATTTTGAATTGGCTGTCCTGTATGTATCTCAGAGTTAATATGTACAAAATAGAATTCATCTTCTCTCCCCTTTTTCCTAACTTCCATATCTCTGTCAAGGGCACCATCATTCCTCAGGTTGCCCAGGTTTGCAACCTTGGGGCCCTCTACTCATCACTCTTCCTCACCCCCATTTCTATTCATTTGCTAAGCCTTGTCATTTCTACCTCCATAGCATCTCTCGTATTCAGCCTTTTAGGATCATAAATTTAGAGCTTGGAGGGATTTTAGAGGCCAACCCTTTCATTTTACAGATGAAGAAACTGGAGCCCACTGAGAGAAAGGGACTTGCCTAAAGTTACACAGCCAGTGATAGAGCTGGGATTAGCTCACTTTTTTCTGACTTCCAGGTCAGCCCGGTGTCTGCTACCCCATGATTCAAGCTTTCCCTGTTTACGTGACCACCATCCTTTGGGCCTTCAGCACCTTTCACCTGGACTATTGAAGTAGCCTTCTAATAGATCTCCCAGCCTCCAGTCCATCCATCCCACAGCTGCCACAGTGATATCCCTAAAGTTCAGTTCTTACTACTTTCTCAGAAAACTCCAGTGGGCTTCCAGTTGTCTCAACAACCATATACAAATTACTCTACCATCTAAAGCCTTTCACTGTCTGGCTCTGGCTTACATTTCCAGGACCATTATTACACATTACTCCCCTTCATGCACTGTGTGTTACATGCTTTTCCTCTTATAGTATATTCGTTCTCCTCTCCCCATAACTTTGCACAGGCTAACTCTCATAACTGGAATGCACTCCCTTTTCACTTTCACCTCTTAGAATCCTTGACTTTATTAAAAAACCCCAGCTCAAGTGCCACTTCCCACATAGGGCCTTGATTTCTATCCCTACATGTACTTTTCCTCACCCAGACCACTGTATTTATTTTGTATATATCCTATATTCTGTAAATACTTATCTCCCAACTGGACTGAAAACTCCTCATAGGCGGGCACTGTCTCAATTTTGTTTCTCTTATCTATAGTGCCTGGCATATGGGCACTTCGTTAATATTTGTTGATTCACTATTAAATACCATTGGAATGACAACTTAATTGAGTCTTTTTAGAAAAAAAAAATTAGTCAGAACATCAAAAAGAGCATTCTCATACACACAGCAAAACACAAAATAATGGCTCTGAATGAAATCATGGATATTTCATACCACTTACTTTTTTAAAAGTATATAACAAATTCTGCACATTATTTTCAATACTGTCCTACCTATCTACTTCTTTCTGAACATCTTTCTGTTTTGTGCATTTTTTTAAAGTTACAGTGGCTCTTTTTTTGGAATCACTATTGCTTTCCTCCCTCCTCAAATTCTCCCCACCACTACCACCACTACAAAAAAACTAAGAAAAAGAAAGAAACGTCAAGTCTAGGTCCATGTGGAATAAGGCCTAGCTGAATTCCCTCAGACATGGGTTACCACTGCCACCATGAAAATCATCTTCAAAATTATAAGTCAATGTTTTCTTCTAAAATGTCCAGAAATGTTTGTCTCTGCACCTTGTGTTTGTTACCTCTCTTTCAGGTGGTAGATCACATGATTTATCACAGGTTCTGTGAAGATATGGTTGTTCAGTACTGTGATCAGAGTTTTTGAGTCTTTCCAAGTTTTTCTTCACAGTATTGTGGTCTTTGTATAAATTGTTCTCTTTTGGTTCTTCTCACTTCAGTCTGCATGAGTTCATAACTACCCAAGATTCTATGAAGTTGTCTCTTTTGTCATTTACCATAATTGATTCAGCTATTCCCCAGTTGTATAAGAGGCAATCTAAGATTACCCTCCTTAAATTCTAGTACAATACTTTGATTTTCTTCCCCCTAACCCCTCAGTTTAATGCCCCTTTACAGGTCAGGAAGCTATTTATGCCATTAACTTCTTTCCCAGGTTTTTTCCTCCCTCTTTACCACCCTCCCAATACCTATCCCTACTTGTTTCTTTGTTGAGTTCTATTTCTACACCAAACTGTGTGTTCAACCTTCTTTTGTCTCTTTCAGATAAGAGTTTCACCTAATGCCCACTTCCTCCTTTCTTTCCTCTTGTTTGTATATTCTTCTCACCCCATTGATGAGAAATCATATAGCTCTTTCTAATTGCTTGAATGAATTTACCTTTCTGGATTTCTCCGGGCTCTTGTGTTTGTATTTAAAAGTTCATACTCTGCTCTGTTCTTTTCCTCAGAAATAACTGAAGAGGAGGAAGAGTAAGATTCAAATAGACTTTATTATCAACCTAGAAAAAAAGCATCAAAATCAACATCGTGATTGTCCATGTTAGTATGGAATCTCTACATGATCTGCTTATGGTTGGGCTAAATATTCAACCAAAGTATGTGAGAGCAAGGAAATTGATCTTCTATGCAGCAGAGGACTTAAATTGTTTATGTTGTAGGGTTATCGATGTGATTGAAGCAGGAGTTAATTTAGGAGATCACCTGGACCATTGCTTATTGACTCTACTAATTTGTTATTATTATGAGGGAGATATTAGAAAGTTCCAAGATAGCCCAGTAGCCCAGTATCTATCCGAGCATGGTTATGAAGTTCATCAACTGTGCGGGGACCAGACTGCCAGCCTGGGCAAATACTTAGATGCAAACAATCATGGTCCACAGTTGCAGCAAGCAATCCAGGCAGTCCCACAAGCGGAAACAAATAAGAGAAGAACTGGTCTTTTCATTTCATTCTGTAGCCTGTTTCTCTGAAAATTGGTAGTTGGGGAACGAGCTTGCACTGAAGAAGTCTTTCGTCAAGTCCGGGTCCACATGGAACAAGGCCTAGCTGAGTTCCCTCAGACCTGGGTTACCACTGCCACCATGAAAATCATCTTCAAAATTATGTCAATGTTTTCTTCTAAAATTCATCATAATACATCAAGGACTGCATCAGCAAGCCACACATGATGCATCTGATATAATAATTGCTACATCAGTTGCACAAGCACTTTTTGCAGGGCTATTAATTGTTCAAACTGTCCTTGGTTATGTCTTGCAGTGCACAGAGCATGGAGTTGAGCTCCACCCCTTAACCTGGGACAGGGTTATCCAAAATGAACTTGACAACTTTCGTCAAGCAGTAAAACAAATATCAAAGCACGGAATTTATGCCCCATATGCTCAACTTCTAAAACTGGCAGGGGTCAATCATTTGGAATATGGGCTGTACCCACAATTGTCAGCAATTGCTGTAGATATTGCCTCTGCCCATGAAAGGACCCTAATAGGGGTAAAGCTTGATGACAGGTACCAAGCCCTCTGAGAGGCTGCCTATGAGGCTGAAAGCAAGTTAAGCAATTTAAGATGTGAGAGATACATACAAAACATATATTCAGAAGAAGACAACAAAGTCAAAGCTCCTACATCCAAAGCCTCCAAGAAAAATATGAATTGGTCTCAGGCCTTGGAAGAGCTCAGAAAGGATTTTGAAAATCAGGTAAGAGAAGTAGAGGAAAAATTGGGAAGAAAAATGAGAATGATGCAAGAAAATCATGAAAAACGAGTCAACAGCTTACTAAAGGAGACCCAAAAAAATACTGAAGAAAATAACACCTTAAAAAATAGACTAGACCAAATGGCAAAAGAGGTCCAAAAAGCCAGTGAGGAGAAGAATGCTTTAAAAAGCAGAATTGGTCAAATGGAAAAGGAGGTCCAAAAGCTCACTGAAGAAAATAACTTCTTAAAAATTATAATGGAGTAACAAAACAGATAAATGATAAATGCTGGAGAAGATGTGGGGAAATTGGAACATTAATGCATTGTTGGTGGAGTTGTAAACTGATCCAACCATTCTGGAGAGCAATTTGGAACTATGCCCAAACGGCTATAAAAATGTGCATACCCTTTGACCCAGCAATAGCACTTCTTAGGTCTGTATCCCAAAGAGATCATAAGAGTGAGAAAAGGATCCACATGTACAAAAATATTTATAGCAGTTCTTTCTGTGGCATATAAATGTAATGGAATACTGTTGTGCTATAAGAAATCATGAGCAGGCAAACTTCAGAAAAACCTGGAAAGACTTGTGTGGACTGATGCTGAGTGAAGTGAGCAGAACCAAGAGAATTGTTGTACACAGTAACAACCATGTTGTGGGATAACTAACTTTGATAACCTTAGCCCTTCTCAGCAATGCAAGGATCTAAGACATCTCTAGAAGTCTTATGATGGAAAATGCTATCCACATCTAAAGAAAGAACTATGGAGTTTGGATGCAGATTGAAGCATATTATTTGCTATTTTTTTCTTCTGTTTTGTTTTGTTTCCTCTTTCTTGTGGTTCCTCCTGTTGGTTCTAATTCTTCCTTACAACATGACTATTGTAAAAATATGTTTAATAGGAATGTATATGGATAGCCTGTATCAGTTGTGCACTGTCTTGGGGAGGGAGGGGGAGAAAAATTTAAAACTCAAAAGCTTATGAAAGTGATTATTGATAAATCAAACTAAATTTAAAAAAAAGAGTTAGAACAGTTTAAAACTTTAAAAAAATTTAGAATAGAGCAAATGGAAGCTAATGACCGAGAAGTCAAGAAATTATAAAACAAAACCAATAGATATCATCTTTCAAGAAATTATCAAGGAAAATTGCCCTGGTATTCTAGAACCAGAGGGTAAAAGAGAAATTGAAAGAATCTACCAATCACCTCCTGAAAAAGATCCTAAATTGAAAACTCCCAGGAATATTATAGCCAAATTCCAGAGTTCCCAGGTCGAGGAGAAAATATTGCAAGCAGCCAGAAAGAAACAATTCAAATATTGTGGAACCACAATCAGGAGAACACAAGATTTAGCAGCTTCTACATGAAAGGATCAGAGGACTTGGATTATGATATTCTGGAAGTGAAAGGAGCTAGGATTAAAACCAAGAATTGCCTACCCAGCAAAATTGAGAATAATCCATGAGGGGAAAAAATTGACATCCAATGAGATGGAGGAATTTCGTGCATTCTTGAGAAAAGACCAGAGCTAAATAGAAAATTTGTCTTTCAAATACAAGACTCAGGAGAAGCATGAAAAAGGTAAAAAGGAAAGACAAATCATAAGGGACATATTAAAGTTAAACTGTTTACATTCTGGCGTGATACTGTAACTCATAAGACCTTTCTCATTATTAGGTCAGTTAGAAGGAAGATATATAGACAGAGGACACAGGTATGTGAGTTGAATATGAAGGGATGATATCTAAAAAGTAAAATTAAAGAGTGAGAGAAATGTACTGGGAGAAAGAGAGAAGGAGAGGTGGAATGGGATAATTTATCTCACATAAAAGAGGGAAGAAAAGGCTTTTACAGTAGAGGGAAGAGGGAATGAGTGAACCTTACTCTCATCAGAATTGGCTTAAAGAGGGAATAACATACTCAATTAGGTATGGAAATCTATCTTGGATTCACTTTCTATATGGAAAGTAGGGAAGGGGATAAAGGGGGTAGTGGTGATAGAAGGGAGGGCAGATTGGGGGAGAGGGTAATCAGAAACAAACACATTTGAGGATGGACAGGGTGAAAGGAGAGAATAGAATAAACAGGGTAGGATAAAGAGATATATAGTCTTTCACAACATGATTATGGAAGTGTTTTACATGACTACACATGTATAACCTATATGGAAATGCTTGCCTTCTCAATGAGAGGGAGTGGGGAGGGAGGAAGGGACAGAATTTAGAACTCAGAATTTAGAAGTTTTAAAAACAAATGTTAAAAATTGTTTTTAGGGGCAGCTAGGTGGTGTAGTGGATAAAACTCTGGCCTTAGAGTAAGAAGGACCTGAGCTCAAATTCAGCCTCAGACATATGACATTTACTAGCTGTGTGACCCTGGGCAAGTCACTTAAACCCAATTGCCTAACCAAAAAAGGCAAAAAAAAAAAAGTTTTTACATGTAACTGGGGAAATAAGAAACACAAGGTATAGAAATCTATCTTACCCTACAGGAAAATAGAAGTGGAAGGGGATAAGAGAAGGGGTTGGGTGATACAAGGGAGGGCAGATTAGAGGAGGGGGTAGTCAAAAGCAAAACACTTTTGGGGAAGGATAGGGTGAAAGAGAATAGAGTAAATGGGGGTAGGGAGAATAGGATGGAGGGAAATACAGTTGTCAGTAATTACTGAAAAAAAATTTGAAGCAAGTTTCTCTGACAAAGGCCTTATTTCTCTAACATAGAAGACTGTGTCAAATTTGTAAAAATAAGAGTCATTTCCCAATTGATAAATGATCAAAAGATATAACCAGTTTTCAGATGAAGTAATTAAAGCTGTCTAGTCACATGAAAAAATATTCTAACTCACTATTGATTAGAGAAATGCCAATTAAAACAATTTTGAGGTACTATCTCATACCTATTAGATTGGCTAATAAGACAGAAAAGGTAAATGACAAATGTTGGAGGGGATATGGGGAAAATGAGACATTATTGTTGGAATTGTGAACTGATTAAACCATTCTATAGAGTAATTTGGAACTATGCCCAAAGGGCTGTAAAACCATCCATACCCTTTGACCTAGCAATACCACTACTAGGTCTATCCCAAAAGAGATAAATAAAAATATTTATAGCAGCTCTTTTCGTGATGGCAAAGAATTGGAAATTGAGGGGATGCCCATCAGTTGGGGAATGGCTGAACAAGTTGTGGTATATGAATATAATGGAATACTATTGTGCTATAAGAAATGATGAACAGGTGGACTTCAGAAAAACCTGAAAAGACTTGTATGGACTGATGCTGAGTGAAGTGAACAGAACCAGGAGAACATTGTACACAGTAACAACCATGTTGTGGGATGACTAACTTTGATACACTTAGCCCTTCTCAGCAATGCAAGGATCTCAGACGCGTCCAAAAGTCTCATGATAGAAAATGCTATCCACACCCAAAGAAAGAACTATGGAGTTTGAATGTAGCTTGAAGCATACTATTTGCTTTTTTTTTCTTGTTTTGTTTCATTTCCTCTTTCTGGTGGTCCTTTTTATTGGTTCTAATTCTTCCTTATGACATGACTAATGTGAAAATGTTTAATAGGAATGTATATGTATAGCCCATATCAGATTGCACACTATCTTGGGAGGTAGGTAGGAAGGGAGTAGGAGAAACATTTAAAACTCAAAAGCTTATGGAAGTGATTGTTGATAAATCAAAATAAATTAATAAGAAAAAGAATTAGAAATTGAGGGGATGCCCATCAATTGGGGAACGACTGAACGTATGGTATGTAATTAATGGAATACTATTTTACTCTAAGAAATGATGAACAGGATGCTCTCAGAAAAACCTGGAAAGACTTGCATGGGTTGATGCAAAGTGAAATGTACTGGGTACAAAGTAACAGCAATATTGTAAGATGATCAGCTTTGAGTGACTTAGCTCTTCTCAGTGACAGAATGATCCATGACTGCTCTGAAGGACTTAGGATGAAAAATGGTATCCATCCCCAGAAAAAGAACTGATTGTGTCTGAATATAGATTGAAGCATACTTTTTTTTTTTTAACTTTATTTTTCTTGAATTTTTTTTCTTCTCTGTTGACTTTCACAACATGACTATTATGGGTATGTTTTGCATGACCACATATAACCTATATGGAATTGCTTGCCTTCTCAATGAGGGGGGTGGGGAGGGAGAAAGGGAGAGAATTTGGAACTCAAAAGTTTTAAAAACAAATGTCAGAAATTGTTTTTACACGCAACTGGGAAAAATGAAATACTAACTATTAAAAAACAAAACAAAACTAGAGGAAGCCTCCATGCTTACAGGAAAAACATTTTCAAAACTCCAGTTGTATTCTAGAAAGTTTCTTCAGCTAGTCAGTTCCCACTTAGGTGGATAAGGAACTGCCTTCCATGTATTGGTCCAAGTATTAGGCCAACTAGGAGAAAAATGGAATTCAATGGACAACTTTTATAATGAGTTTATGACGTCCATTTCTGAAGGGGAATCTGCACAGGCCTCCTTGCTCAATGTTACAGAGGTATGACCCTTTAATTGAAGCAGAGCCCCCTATTACAAAGATCAGTGCTAAATATGAGATTCCCAGGATGTACCAAAAGAGCCTATGGAAGCTCCCCTCCACCCCCCACCCTAAGATTAGCAAAGGCAGGGTATGCTTGTACCAAGCACCTCCTGGTGATCTGATTGTACTAAACATTTAAGTTCAACTTCCCACAATTTTAAACTTTAATAGATGAAAAAATAGAGCTTCATTGCTAATCCTTGCTTGACTGAGGAACCATGACTGACCTAATTAATCATGAGCTGCCATTTAACCAAGAAAGAAACCACATGACATATCAATCAACCCCTCCAAATCATCACCACAACCGGGAACCCACAGTACCCTTGCTGCTACCCCACTCCCTTTGAGTTACCCAGTCTGCAACAATGACCACACCAAACACAAATCCAAATATCCCCAATGGACACAATAAAACACCTGTTGCTCAGTTCCCCTTCCTCTCACAAGCCCAGCCACCGTTTCCCTGCCTGGCCAACCCACTGGGGCCCACCAACAACTGCCCTGTAAAACAAGCATGGGTCCAATACCAACCTCTCTACAGCTGTGGAGGTTCAAACCAAATCCACCCAACACGGGAGCAACTAAACTTGCCCCCAGCCAAAGGAATCTCCTGATCCCACCCCCCACGGGCCCATGAGCACCCACCCAAGAACAAACACTGCACAAGTCTAGTCAATACTCCAGAAAAAAAGCCCCAGAAAGAATGGGTGTACCGTCTGGTTTGACCTCTCCAGTTAGGCTAATGCCTCAAAACTCTGTAGCAGAAACCTGAGAAACTTGCCACAAGTACTAGAAATCCATATTTTAGCCCTCTAAAGTAAGTAAAGAAAAGAAAGAAATAGCTGAAAGACCTCTCTTCCATTAAAAGTACATTTCCCCCCCTGTATGATTATACTTTGCTTTGCAGGGAGTGTTAACACTCATTTGTAAACCTCTTTTTGCCTTTTGGAATATCACATTCCAAGGTCTCCTCTCATTTATAATAGAAGCTGCCAGATATTGTGTGATCCTGATTCCTAGTTCCTTGGTACTTGAACTTTCTAGACATTTGTAGTATTTTTTCTTTAATGTGAGAGTGCTGGATTTTGGCTAGTACGTTCCTGGGATTTGTCCTTTTGTTATCTCAGGTGTTAATTGGTGAATTCTTGGATTTACTTTGTCCTCTGGTTCTAATGTATCCGGGCAATTTTCATTTATGATTTCTTAAAATATAGTGTCCACCATTTTTTTAAATCATGGTTTTCAGGAAGTCCAATGATTCCTAAATTATCTCTCATTCTGTTATGTTCCAGGTCAGTTATTATTCATATCAGATATCTTCCATTTTCTTCCCTTTTTTCAGTCTTTTTATTTTGCTCTACTATTTCTTGCTATCTCAGGGAGTCATTAAGTTCTGTTTGGTCTGTTCTAGTTTTCAAGGAGTACCTTTATTGGGTAAGGTTTACCACTCTGTCTTCCAGACTATTTTTCTTTCAGTTCTTTCCTTCAGAGCTTTTATTTCATTTAAAGAGTTTCTTGCCTTTCATTCATACCAGCACCTATTGGTAACATTTTCTTTACAGGGTCTAAGTGAGAAAGGGGAGTGAGTAGGGTGTATCATTTTGTTTCCCATTTGTTCATAGCCCCCCCAAAAAAACACAACCCTTAGGAAACCTCAAAATAGCTGTATGTAAAGTTTTATTTCTTCTGCAATTAAATAGAGAAAGAGTGAAAACCTAGTCAGAAAAAAGAAATGTGGTCAATCTTTGGTGTCTGTAGAAGAAAAGTAAGAATGACAGGGGGCTATTTAGCATCCCTCTTGCCCCCCCAAAAATGTATCCCACAAGGTTTATACTGTCTTCTTTTCCTTTCATTCCCTGGAGCTTGCGGTCCTTGCTCTTCATATGTCCTCTGTACTGAACCATGTGGAGTTCCTACTGCAGGAATCACTTGATACTGTTGTGACTTGGAACTAGGGAAGTACCCACTTCCCTTATACCCTACATATGAAGGAAGCAGTTCTGGCTCCCAGTACATTTTAGGATAAATTTAGTTTTGTAGGCTTGTCAGGGACCATAACTATGTTGGGACAACATAGAATATTGCTTCTAGGGGGCAGCTAGGTGGCACAATGGATAGACCACCAGCCCTGAAGTCAGGAGGACCTGAGTTCAAATTCGGCCTCAGACCAAACACTTGACACTTATTAGCTGTGTGACCCTGGGCAAGTCACTTAACCCCAATTGCCTAAAGAAAAAAAAAAAGAATATTGCTTGTATGGGAAAATATGTTGCAAATTTCAAACAACTGACTTTAAATGAATTTTTAGATTATAAATTATTTGTATATTGGAAACAACTACGAAATGTTGTTAGATATTAGTGATCAACTGTTTATTCTTTTGCTACTAATTATAAAATGTAAGAAAATGAGTTTAAAGTATAAATGATTATTAGCTGTTAAAAAAAAAACCTTTCTGAAATTGGAATGTTAAATATTAGTTGGGCTACCCAGAGAGGCTGGATATTCTTTTTTCAGTTTAATATTATCAAAGCAGAGGTATAAAATCAATGATCTCTCAACATCCTTTTGACCCTAAAATTTTATCATCTTAGCAGTGGATAATAAAATGGATTTTATGTGAAATTACCAAATGATCTCCAAAGTTACCAATGATCTCTTTGTTGCCAAATCCAGTGAGCTTGTCTCAGTCCTCATTTTCTGTGACCTCTCTTGCAGTCTTTGACACTGTTAATTCACCTTCTCCTCCCTGATACACTCTTCTCTCAGGTTTTTGGGACACCACTCTCTCCTCCTTTTCCTTCTATCTGACCACTTCTTTGCTGGATCCTCCTCCAAATCATGCACTCTAACCATAGGTGTCCCTGAGAGTTCTATCCTGGGCCCTTTTCTCCTCTCTCTACACTACTTCACTTGGTGATCTCATAAGTTCCTATGGTTTTAATTACCATCGCTGTGCCAACAATTCTTAAATCTGCCTATTCTGCCCTAAACTTTCTGCTGACCTCCAATCTTGCATCCCTTTCAGACATCTCAAACTAGAGGTCCAGTAGACATCTTAAACTAAATGTGTCCCAACCAGAACTAATTTCTCTCCCCCAACCCCTCCGCCTCCTTCCCTATTACTATAGATGGCAACACCATCCTCCCAGTCCCTCAGGTTCACAACCTAGGAGTCATCCTGGATTTCTCACTATCTTATTCCTCATATCCCAGTTGTTTCCAAAGCCTGTTGATTTTATCTTTGGAACATCTCTCAAATACTCCCCCTTCTGTCGTCTGACACTGCCACCACTCTAGTGCAGGCCGTTATCATCTCACACTTTGACTATTGAAATACTCTGCTGATGGGTCTGCTTGCCTCAAGTTTCTCCCCACTCCAGTCTATCCTTCATTCAGCCACCAAAGTGATTTTCCTGAAGCAATACTCTGACCACATCATTCTCCTACTCAGTAAACTCCAGTGGCTCCCTATATCCTTCAGGATCAAATACAAAATGCTCCATTTGGCATTCAAAGCCCTTTATCAGCTAGCTTCCTCCTACCTTTCTAGTCTTTTTACACTTTGCTCTCCAATATGTACTCTGATCCTGTAACACTGTCTTGGACACTCCATCTCTGGGATCTGGGCATTTTTTTTTTCTGGCTGTCCCTAATGCCTAGAAGGTTTTCCCTCCTCTGTTCTGCCTGCTTACCTCCCTAGCTTCCTGTAAATCCCAGCTAAAATCCCTTCTTTTATTAGAGGCTTTCCTTAACTTCTGAATTCTAGTACCTCCCCTCTGTTAATTATTTCCTATTTATCCAGTATGTAGTTTGCTATAAATTTGTTTGCATGTTGTCTATTAGATTATAAACACCTTGAGGGCAGGGACTGTCTTTCACCTCTTTTGTATTCCCAGTGCCAGGCACATATTAGGAGCTTAATATTGATTGATTGATTAATGTCTTAATTAAGTTTGTATCTTTTTTATTAGGTGATAAAGCTATTAAAGTCAAAATACCAGTACAAAGAAGGAGAAGCTCATGTCATCAGTGAAAAAGTCCAAGTTAAATTCAGCCAAGAGTGCTACAGAGAGTCCAAAATGTCCATTACAGATCTAAGGATTTCACATTGGGAAGAAGCTTTTCAAGAAACAAGAGCTGAGACAGCCAGTCAGGAACTAGCTAAAGAATGTTATTTCCTATGGAAATCTACACGTCTCCAGCATATGACTTTATCAGAAGACGTAAAAAACATGCTGACTGAACTTCGAAAGGAGGTCCCCCTCCTTCTTTTGACTAATGGTGACACACAGACACAAAGAGAGAAGATTGAAGCTTGTGCCTGTCAACCATATTTTGATGCTATTGTTGTAGGTGGAGAACAAGAGGAGGAGAAACCAGCACCATCGATATTTTATTACTGCTGTGATCTCCTTGGGGTACAGCCAGGAGACTGCGTGATGGTTGGGGATACTCTAGAAACAGATATCCAAGGAGGGCTTAATGCTGGCTTGAAAGCCACAGTCTGGATAAACAAAAACAGAATTGTGCCACAGAAGCAGTCCCCCGTACCTCACTATGTTGTTTCTTCTGTACTAGAGTTACGTGCCATCCTACAGAATATAGACTACATACCCAGTGTGTCAGCTTAACAAGTATCAAAAGAGACAGTAAGAATTTCTGGATCAGACCTTAAGGTTCTGCTGGGAATGAATGAGAGGTACATATCTTCTAGTCTTCTAGGTTCCAAATCAAGAACATATGTAATTCTAATAATTTATAAAAAGTCACATATCACTTTTTCTTTGAGAAAAATAAAAGTTTTTTTTTTCTTAGACCAGAAAACTTGAAACTTTTTACGGGTTTGGGGAAATTTTTGGTGGGTATGAGGTTTGAAAGACTTTTTACATAATATTATGAGAATTACTGGGGGGAGGTTCCCCAAAAGTTTTGCATCTTGGGTCTTTTTCTGTGGATTAAAAATAGGTATTGGTTCTGAAATTTACATTTGTGGAAAATATTTGTCAGGAAGTATTGATCTGGATAGTACCTATAAGGTAACACTCTTCAAGGCAATATTTTAGTTAAGATTACATAAGCACTTTGCATTACATAAATCAAAGCATTTAACTGATAATACATTTATATGTTTTGCTCGAGAATGTTTTTTAAAGTGCTGGTTATGGTTTTTTCCCTCATTAAAAATATATTCTTCCTTCTCTAATATGAATATTTTTTAAACACACTTCATATTACTCTGCTGACATAATAGTTTCATCATTTTATTTTGCACACACAACATGAAATTTTAGCATTAATTCTTGCAGTTAGAGGGCCTTTAATACCAGTTACTCCTTTTCCCATAATAACAACTTCCAAGTAAACTTGCAACATCAAAAAATCTGTACATTACAGGGAAGTGTTTTTCCCAGGTGCTAATTTAGATTGAGGGGACACTTAACATGATCAGGACAAGTACATGCACACAACCAAAGCAATTTCCTTTCTATTTTCTTGAGGCAGCTTTTGAAAGGATGAAGCTGCTACTGAGTTGGTAGCTCTTCTCACCCTTGAAATGACTTTAGTATAAGGGCCCAATTTATTTCCTCCTCTGACCTGATATTTTCAGATGAAGGCAAATAAATGATTATATTTTTACCCTTACCTAGTTACACAGTGTTGACTCTGCAGTTTACTAACTCTGTGATTGTGTTGAGTCCTTTCATGTGTCTGGGTTTCAGTTTCCTCATCTGTAAAATGAGTGAGTTGAACTAGACAATCTTTAAGACCCCTCTTACCTCTAAATCTGTTAACCTGGGCATGAGTTGTTGTATTACTTATAGAAATTGGATCCCTGACCAAGACGGTGCCTGCATAGGACTAGAAAGGACTTTAGAAATCTTCAGGCCCCTCATTTTAAAAAAGGAGAAGATAGGTCCAGAGAGCCTAAACAATTTGCTTTATTTCGTGTTTCTGAAAATTTATGTGATCACATGGTAAATTTATATGACTCCTGTTAATAAATTTAGATGAGAATCAAATCAAATCATCAGTAAGTTCAAGACTAAACTGTGTCAATCCTGTGAAGCCTTTCCCTATTCCCTGCCCCTACCTGCCAAAGGTATTGCTTTACCTTTGTGTCTCCAGAGTCTAGCACAGTGCCTTGCACATTTTGGGTGAAGAGATGGTGGATTGTGGCCTGGATCTGTGATTCTAATACACATCAGCAACTTTGACTTATAATTTAAAAGTTGCCTAGGGTACTAAGAAGTTAAATGACTTGCCCAGAGTCACAAAGCTAGTGTGTCAGACACTGAATCTCCAAGGCTGACTCTCCATCCTCTATGCTGTGTCCAGGATAGCACATGCTCAGTGTTTACTGAATAGTTCATTCTTTGTTGTTGCTCCATACCCTATATTAAGGATCCTTTCAATGTGGTCAAATAAAGCAGATAAATTCTGTTTTTAAAAATATTATCTTAAGACTTACAAACTGATGTAAAGTAACATTCTCTAGGTTTCTAGAACAATAGAAAATGATACACATAATGACTATAAAAATATAAGTGGAAAGACAAAAGCAAATGAAACACTAATTATAATCAAATTTGATTATGAAGAAGAGATGAGAATGCACTTTCCTTCTCTTTGCAAAGGTGGAGAATTATGAATGTGGAACATTGTGTATGTTGTCAGATTTGGTTGATGTATGACTTCATTTTACGGAACTGCTTTTTTTTCTTTTTTTTTTTTAATTCTTTGTTTTAAGGGATGGTGCTCTGGGTGAGGGAATAGGGAGGAATATATTGGGAAATAAAAGTGGTGTTACAAACAAGTATTCAGTAAAATGTTTAAAAAATAAAAGTGGATAACATGACAATATTTGCAAAATGATTTAGTTTCATTGTAACATCTGGTTTAGTACAACAAAGTTACTTCATTCTAAGAAATAATCCATAATAATCCTGCTTTGCTGGTGTGGCTATGAGTTTCGTTGAATAAGAAATTTTATGTGATAGAGATGGTCATGTCACATATTTAGGAGTCATTCTCTTTAATTATGGTGCTCTTTTGTTCTGAAGTTTATGTATAGTAACCTTGCGTACCTGTATAATTTAAAATATTCTTGGTGATATTTTAAAATACTGCTTTAATTTGGGTGAAGGGGGTATTTATGATGTTGTAGAAATTGATGCAAGAGTCGACCCTATTTATCCACACAGGATAATAGGATTGTAGATTTGGAGCTAGAAGGGATCTTAGAGGTTAATTCGTCTTGGGTCAAACAAGTAGCAAATAACAGAGCTAGAGATTCAAACCCAAGTCTATTGATGCCTAATCAGTTTGGTCTAACCACCGCCCAGGAAAGACCAAATGAATAATTAGTGCTTGTTGTCCAGACAGTGATATGCAGTTGTGCATAGAAATCATAGCGATATTTCATCAGTACCTATATTTTGGAAAGTCAGACTGTCTAGCTTGCTATTCCTCTGCCTCCTGTAATCCTTAGTTCCTTTTAAGATTCAGCACAACTACAGAAAGGAATTCCATTCAACAGAAGATATGAAATATTTGGGATCGCATCTACCAGTATTGACTCAGGAACTATATGAATCTAACTATAAAACACTGCAAAAATAGGAACAGACCTACATGGAGAAAAATTAATTACTCAGGGTAGTTTGTGCTAATAGAATAAAAATTACAAGTTCTATCTAAATTAACTTAATTTCTATCTAAATTATTATCTATCTAACTTATTAACTTATTCCATCCTGTTCCAGTCAGTTTCCCAAAATAATATTTTCTAGATCTAGAAAAAATACCAAAATTCATATAGAGGAATGAAGGGTCAAGAATTTCAGGGGTAACAGTGAAAAAAAGTGAGAAGTGTTGGGGAGGAAAACATCTCTCAGTAAGTGATCTCAAACTATTAAGGGCAAAAATCATTAAAAATTATCTTTTTTTAATTAAGAGAGATTTATCATTGGAACAGATCAGATCTGTAACAGACAGAAGAAGCATAGTGTTTGATAAATCCAAAGACCCTAGTTACTGAGAGAAGGATTCAGTATTTGACAAAAACTGCTGAGAACACTAGATAGCAATCTGGAAGAAATTAGGTTTAGGCTAATACCTCACACACCATACACAATAATAAGTTCCCAATGGATTTATTACCGTGATATATTACCTGTATATAAAAGCTCACATCATAAATTAGAGGAACAAGAGAGAATTTCCTTTAGATCTGTGTATAGGGGAAGAGTTCATGTCTAAAGTCATAGGTAGGAACACACAAGATAAAATAGTTGGTTTTAATTATATGAAATTTAAAAACTTTTGTCAGTAACAAATCTAATATGAAGATTGGGAGAGAATCAGATAACTGGAGGTGGGCCTGAAGGGGGTGGCGGGAAATCTTTGTTGCAATTTTCTGTGATAAAGGCCTAATATCTAAGATGCATAGAAACTGATTTAAATTTATGAAATTAAGCCATTCCCAATAGATAAAATAATCCAAAAATAAGAACAAGCAGTTTTCAAAGGAAGATGTCTAAGCTATCAATGCTATATGAAAAAATTCTCTAAATCACTAAAATTTCAAAATGTAAATTAATGTAAAGTATTATAAAAAATGTAAATTAAAGCAAGTTTGAGATTTCAAATCATACTTATCAGACTAGCAAAGATGACAAAAGGAAAATAACATGTTGGAGGGACTGTGGGAATATAGGTGCACAAGTACATTGTTTCCAGCCATTCTGGAAAGCAATTTGGAACTGCCCAGAAAGTTACCAAACTATCCATACCCTTTGACTCAGCTATACTACTACTAGGCCTATATTCCCAAAGAAGTCAAAGAAAGAGGAGAAGATCTATATGTACAAATATATTTACAGCTGCACTTGTTTGTGGTAGCCAAAAATTGGACACTAAGAGGTGTGTTGGGGAATGGCTAAACAAATTGTGGTGTATGAATAATGGAATGTTGTTGTAGCATGATAAATGATTGAATGGACTGTTTCAAAGGAAGCTGGAAAGACCTCTCTGATCAAATTCAGAACGAAGTGAGCAGAACTAGGAGAATAATTTATATACTGATAACATTATGGAGGAAAACAACTTTTTAAGACTATAGAAATCTAATCAATGCAATGATAAAATCGTATGTCCAAAAGAATGCAGATGAAACATGCCACTCACCTCCTGCCAGAGAGATAATGAAACTTTAAATGTAGAAAGATGCACACTTTCAGATATTCATGTGGGGCATTTGTTTTGCCGGACTAGGTAGTTATGTGTTGAAAGATTTGTTTTTTCAAGTTTGTTTTTTAATTTGGGGAGTTGAGGGGAGAGGCATAAGGAGTTTTAAGGAAAGTGATAAGATCAATAAAAGGAATACTTGTTACTTGAAAAATAATAAACTATTTTTTAAAGACTTGGCTCAGATTCCATCTCCTTCAAGAGTCCTTCCCTAATTTCCTCACTTGTTGGGTTGGCTCCTACAATTACTGTGTATTTGTAAAAATTATATGTGTGTATGTGTATCCCATATCTATTAACAAGATGGGTCTCCCTAGCAGAATGTAAGGTGCTTGAGGACAAAGAATATGTCATTTTCATATTTATATTCCCAACAGTACATCGCCTAATATCTTAATAGTCACTCAATAAATGCTGATTGATTGATATGTGCATCAGCCACCAGGTGGCACTCTGCTTGTGCAGTTTCTTTCCATTCTGGCTAGCTACTTTTACCTTTAATTTTCAGCAGCTCAGAGCAACTTTCCTGCTTCCATGTGACCCTATTTATTGAGGTCATATCTAGGGA